TCCATCCAAGACACACCCAGCCTCCTGCCATTATTGCACATCTTGTTACACCAGACCGCTGGCTGCCACACGCCCTCCTATCCCGCCCGCATCTTCACGCCTGCCTGCGTCGTCTTCCCTCCCTGCACCAGACTGGCAGTCGCTGCGTCCTCGCGTCAGCTCCTCTCATGCTCAACGTGACCCCACAAACCTGCCCAGAAGTCTTGAGCTTCGGGTCCTTCGCCCCCGTCCCGGTGCAGCACACCGAGCCAGTGTTGAGCCAGGATACGCTCGTCAGGCTGAGAGAGAGTGAGCGAGGGCAATCACGCCACTACCAGAGAGAGCAGCCAGGGAGAGCAGGGAGGGTCTCACCAAGATCGGATCGTCCTCGTTGATCATGAATACAGGGTCTCTTCCCCACCTGCCGCACATGATAAGCGATCCAGCAAGAGGGCCACCAGCCTCAGGCCGAGGGAGGAGGGAAGGGACAGGGTGGGAAAGGGGGTAGAGGGAGGGGAGGATGTTTTACCTTCTGCCAGTACAGACACTTGTCATTCTTGATGAACATGCATCTTGAGAAGGACGCCTTGACAACGTTCTTGTCGCACAAGTAGACTCCAATGAGATTCCTCTTCATGTTCGTCTTCTTGCACTCTAATTGACAATCTCCGCTCATGACTATCCCACCACATCGATGCTCGCGCTCGACCTGAGGGAAGAGGATGAGAAAGGAAGAAAGAAGATGATGGAGACCATGACACAACAGAAGTACCAAGATCCATTGATATCTCCCTCCTCCTCCTCCTCCTCCTCCTCCTCCTCCACCACCACCACCACCACCACCTCCTCCTCCTCCTCCTCCTCCTCCACCACCACCACCACCACCACCACCACCACTAATCATCTTGTCCATGATCAACTCCAATATCATCATCGGCTGAAGTGGCTATGTTACTCACAGAATCAGACTCGCTGCCTGGAATTCCACAGTATTCGAAGGAACCTGAAAGGCATTTCAGGTCAACATTGGAGATAGGAAGAAGGAGGGGAGGAAGAAGGAGTGCGATGAGGAAGGGGAGGAGGAAGGGGAGGAGGGGAAGGAGGGAAACAATCGCAATGGCTTACAATACTGTATGTCACACAAACTTCTTCCGATGCAGTTCAATCCGATCGTTGGGCGAGTTTTATCATTTTCTCCTCCAACCTGTCAAAACTTTAGCATCTCCCTTCTCCTCCTTTGAGGTCTTCACCTTGCATCCTTGAAGTGATAGTTTGGCTCCTAAGGCAGAAGTAAGACAAGTCATGCTCAGAGGACAGTCGAATCTTGTTTCACAGACAATCTTTCGTTCCAAACTCTCTTCTCAACAACCAATCTTCGTTCAATCATCACCAAGTCTTCTTACCATTCGTGCAAGTGATAGCTGCTCTGCCTCCTCCACATCTTTTTCAAGGTTTTAAGTTCCAACGCACTGGAACGACAGCAAACGTTCATACCTGACCGCACAGGCCTTGAAGAACCACTTTTCTCCATGAATCTGGAAGATCGTGAATCTCGACGATTCTCAACCATAGCCTCGGCAAGTCGAACCTCAAAGGTGGAACTGGACGATATGTCTGTCTTGTGTTTGCAGATAACTAAAACAACAGAAATGAGTTCTGCTTAATACAGACATCTCATTGCACAACGAGTAAACAACATATCAACACCATCATTTGATACAACCAACATTCAACATCTCTCACCAGTCGCAAACACGCCAGACGAGTGCTCAACTAGGTTCCACCTCCTGGACAAAGGTGCAAAGATGAGAAAGCGAGAACGATGGTGAAGCAAGATTACCCGTGGAGCTCGACGTCTCTGTTGCAGCTGATCATGACATCGTCCTTCTCCACCAGCATCGGCCCTTCCCACGATGAATTCTCTACAAAGAGAGACGATAAGTGACGCAACAAGTCAAGACGAAGAGCAAGGTTTGAAGCCGCGAGATGAGATCAGTTGAGATGCGATGAGTCCATTACATCGGGAGCGAGTCGTTTCAAAGTAAAAGGATGATGCATGCACAGTTGTCTCACCACTGATTCTCAATGATTGCGAAGATTTCATTGAATCGATGGCCTCGATCAAGTTGTCATAATCACTGCAAGAACTAGGTCAGGGAGTGATCGAGACAGCGCCAATCCCGTCTATAGAAACCAGCTTCACCAGTCATCAGAAACATTCAAGAGAGTACGTCAACAGCATTCAATCGTATAGCAGACATTTCAATTTCTTACGAACAACACAAGGAATCAAGATACCTTGGAACCGAGAAATTTGGCTGGGCGTATCTAGAGAAAGAGTAAGAATCATAATTCGGAATCGACGAAAGAGACAAGAAAGAGATAGTTCCCCTCTCCCCTCAACTTCCCTCTCTTCTTCTTCATCCTCCTCTCTACTCTCCCTCCTCCTCTCCCTCTCTCCTCTCTACTCTCCTCCTCCTCTCCCTCCCTCCTCTCTACTCTCCGTCCTCTCCCTCCTTCCTCTCTGCTCTAATCCTTTCCTCTTCCTCCTCTCCTTAGATCTACCCCTCTTTCCTAGTCTCCACCAACGAATCACATCAATGACGCTACACCTGCTCATCTACAGCAGAACGCACAACCCGCAGGATCCTCCTTGCATCGCAGCAGCAGCACAGAAGAACATCAAGTGACACCTCTGAATGATCTTGAGATCACTGGTGCTGTCCAAGGAAAGACCGAACCGGAGGAGACTCTACCGATAAAATAAGATCAAACAAATTCGGCGGTCACCATCAACAGGAGGAGGAGGAGGAGGAGGACGTGCAGGAAGATCAGTTATCATCTTGGCGATTTGTCGTTAACGGCCGCTTACTTTGCCACGGTCATCTTTTTGAAGGTACTCGTAGAAGTTGGGGTCAGACTCCTGCAGCTTCTGCAGCTCGAGCTGATGAATTCTTGCCTGCAAATAATCAGCAGGCTGGTGGTAAACATGACGGAAGTAGCGATTGAGAACACGGGGTTGGATACCGCAAAGCAGGAGAAAAGAAGAAGACGAAGTAGTTATGGTGGTGATGGTGGTGGTAATGATGATGATGATGATGATGATGATGATGATGATGATGATGATGCGGAGGATGGGGATGATGATAATGCTGATGATGATGATGATGATGATGAGGAGGAGGAGGAGGAGGAGGAGGATTAGTTCGAAATATTCGTTCTCACCTCTTCAAAAACATCTGTCAAGTGATATTCATCGATTTCATTGTCGATGTCGTTTGGTTTCCCCAAGAGAGATTCAACACATTCGTAGGTTTGAGGGTCAAGCTGTTGAAGTTCCTGCATGTCAGTTCAGATGAAAAACACAAGAAGCAGAGGGAAGAGTGAAAGAGGGGCAGCAAGAACGAATGAGGGGGTTGGGGAATGTGAAGCTTGCAAGCTAACAAATGTCATTCACAAGTTGAAACAGATTGTAAAACACTAGAAAATCGACAAAACATCATTAACATAATGGGAAAATCGAGCACCTGTGGCGTGCAAGTCCAGATCCCCCTCTTGGGCTTGACCGGCACTTGAACTTCTGGATATCATTAAGACCCTCTGACCTGTCAGCCTCACAAACATCCACCTTCATACTCGTTTGTGGAATTTCGATATCTCTCTACGGTGCTGAGCGAGGAGTATCAAATTCGTCCCATTGTCTCATTCAGCTATCACCGGGTTTGAGGCTCGAGTTCGTCCGAAGGGTCCACCTCATTCCCCAGATCCTTCTCCTCCTCGTTTGCATCCCTGCAAATATCTCTCAGATCCTGTTGACGACAAGGTCTCGTCCCATCCCCACCTTATCTGCGCGAGAGCCTCACTTTCTGATAGCATCTCAGCCTCATCGTCGTCCTCATCGTCAAGCCCAGGCGGAGGCTGCTTGAGATGCCCTGATGACATGAGCAATTCAGGATGGAGACACGGTGAGCTACGACATCGAGAGCAACCTGGATTCATATGCCCCATCCCTACATCTTCGATGTCTTCAAACCCTCCTCGCAGTCTCAACCAGCGGGGTTCGACAGGGTGTGGAAGGTTCCGATGAAGGTTCCGAGGGGGTGAATTCGAGCGAAAGTGAAGTGGAGCATCAAGAGAAGAAGTTTGGGCCTTGAGGATGGTGAAAAACAGGACAAAGACAAAAAATAGACTGTATTTGTACATCCCGACCCTGCAGCGCCTGACCCTGCAGCGTAGCGCAAAATGAGCTGACAGGGGATGCAACGAAAGATGAACGATGGAGAAAAGGAGAAGAGACAGGAGGATAAAGGGAGCAGAGATGTGACAGGGGAGAGGAACGAGGAGGAGGAGAAACGGAGCAGAGATGTGGCAGGGGAGAGGGCGAGGAGGAGGAGAAACGGAGCAGAGATGTGGCAGGGGAGAGGAACGAGGAGGAGGAGAAACGGAGCAGGGATGTGGCAGGGGAGAGGAACGAGGAGGATGATAAAGGGAGCAGGGATGTGGCAGGGGAGAGGGCGAGGAGGAGGAGTAAGGGAGCAGGGATGTGGCAGGGGAGTGGGCGAGGAGTCGCAGCTGCTGCTACCTCAGCATGTCGCTTCTGCGATCGATGAGTCTCATGGGACCCTCATGCTGATCCTTCTCATCCCCCTCATACTCTTTACCCGCATCCCCACTCAGCCCGCTCATCCTCTCACCTTTTCGTCTCTTACGCCTCTTCCCCCTACCCCTACCACCCACCCCACCTTCACCACGAGGATCCAACCTGTCACATGGACCCCCTACCATCATATTGAAGGGCGTTTATACCCCCTCTCGCAGAGATAATCGAGAGAAATACAGAACCCCACCCTCAATACCCCCGTATACCCCCTTCACCACCCCCACATGACCACTGATGTACCTCCATCAAAAGGTATTTGTGTACCCCCACCCATGATACTTATGTCCCCATATCTGAGTACCCCCACCATGCAATTATCTGTCTTCAACCCCTCCATTGGATATTCTCAATTTCAAAGGCTACACCCCCACCTACTCAAAATCATCCATCACCCCCTCGATTCCACAATTCCACCCCCATGTCATCACCCTACCCCATCTGAATCCATCAGCATCCTCGCACCCGCCGCCATGAGTTCATCCAACATGCTCGAGTTGGGTCGCATGGGCGCAAAGATCGCCGTCCTGATCACCGCTGCAGGAGCAGGTCTCTTTATCAAGAAGAGAGAGCTGCCTCCTGCCCCTTCCAAGTAAGTTCCTCCCTCATGAGAGGGAGAGGGGAGGGGTGCCTCGATTCTCGGCTCCAAGGGGTGGAGGGAGCAAGGTATTTCCCTTCCGATGACTTCTTGTCTTTGGGGTTGGGAGGAATGGTTTCATGGAATTCAAGGTGGAGACTCTAGGCCTGGTGTTGCTGGTATCCCCCATCGCATTCCGCGGACAATATGCAACATGGCGGCTCACTTTGTTTTGCCACTCCATGGCGCTCTTGGCTTAGACTTATTGTGGTTGGGAGCAAGCCTGGGATGGAAACCATGAGCAAAATGGTGACAAGAAGCTGGGCACGGAAAGTGAGAACAGAATAAAGCCGGCTGGAATGAACAGCAGTCCAATTTTTCTGTTCTACTTGGTGCTTTCTCCCTCGGCAGTTTTCTAATAACGTCTCATGGCCTGTTGTTGAAGTAAAGCCAATCAAGTTGGTATGGCTGAATTTTTTATGATTTTTTGCTTTCTAAATGTAGGTCAATGACGCATTCCTGCTTACGCCAATTCTATTTGACCTGCACACCTACTAATCTCTTTCTCCCTCTCTTTATTTCTGCTTCATTCTTCAGCTGCAGCCGTTCTGATGATGGAAGAGGGAAAGGGAAATCAGCGATATATCCATTGATTTCATGTCAGTGATGATCATGTTGGTCGATGACTTGGACAGGTTGAACAGCCATGATGTCATGTCAATGTCTCCAACTCACTGTGAGTAGGTTTTGTTGCAGGGAAAAGAATCAATCAAAGATTAGTAGACGCCTAGTTGCTTCCTGCGAGCAAGAATCTTGTTGATGAGCTCCTTCTGAAAGAACTGCTCCCGCGAAAGCTTGTGAACGATCTTGAGATATGTGTGCGTTTCGATCTTGGAGTCATCCAACGCCTTATCGAGCTTAGCACATGAGTCAGGCCATTACGGGACAGCAGACATCAACTCACCTCATACAAAGTATCTTCGATCGCCTTGTCATGGCAGACAGCTTGTAGAAGTTGATCGGCCATGGTATCGTGGCACTTCAAAGTGTTTTCCACAGGCTCCTGCGAAGAACTTTGCAAATCTTCCTGAACTCTCTCGATGGTTTGCTCAGCCGCATCCAACCTGCAGCAGATATCAATAAATTGAAGCCGATGATGATAATGCAACTTACTCTTCGAGCATCTTGAATAAACGATCTCTTTCTTGCGTCAAGCGAATTTTGTAGTCGTGAAGTTTTTGAAATGTTATATCCATATCTTTCTGCTTGAGCTGATAAGCATCAAACTCTGAATCGTTTTCGCGTCGAAATCGGTCATACTTGTCCTGAATTGTGACAAACAGCAATCATCATCCCGAAACTGGATTAACAACACGCAATCACCTCTATCTTGCTGAATGTCATCGCAACAAAAGTTAATCTTGACTCCTCCTCCGTGGATTGTCGATTAACAGCTGCTTGCTCCTCAGGGTGTGGCCTCGACGGTTCGGAGGACACAACAGGAGGCATCGAAGAATGTCGGGGCATAGGACCGAAATAAGAATCATCGTGAACTCGCTCGTTGGGCTGCGAGGCCACAAGATGCTCCATGGGAGGATTTGCCACCGGGTTCGGCGGGATAGGGCGAACAGGAGGCTGAGCTTGAGAGCCGTTGCTCGTGGACGAAGTGAGTCGAGCTCCTGCTGAGCTCGAGCTCTTGGCATATACTGGAGGCTCCCGACTGAAGACGTTTTTCAAGGTGGCGACGAGCTCCTTCACGGAAGATGAGTCGCTCCACTGGGTGAGGTATTGATGGTATATGAACCCTGCACTGTCCACGTGGACATGGCGAGGCTTGATGCCCATGTCGCGTGTCGGAGTGACGTAGCAGATCGGTGGACTCTTGGGATAGTCCAGGCAGAACCAGATCCTCACCGGACAGTTATACTTCTTCTGATTGTAGAACATAGGAATTGTCCCATCCAGACAAATGAGTTGGTTTTCGGAGCCATCGTTCTTCACTGTTTAGAGATGGTGAGAATTCTAACACCATGGTTCACATTTTCTTACCCAGCATGTCAATTTTTGGCGAAAGACTCTTCATATCGCTCAATTGCAAACAATCATCGAGCAGGCGAGACTTATTCGAATACTGAACCTGGTCAAGTAATCCAGCAAGCTGTTGATCCAAGTCAGTGACATTCGTCAGGAGAAGTTGCAGCAGCAGCAAGTACAAATGCAAGCAGATATGGTGGTGGTGAAAGAGGAAAGGAAATCACGGCGAAGGATTCTTAATCAAGGAATCGTTTCACTCGTCCTTGGTCGTCACCAAATCCATTGAAATCAAACCAGTAGACATGATCAACATCAAGCGATAAGATGGCAGAAATCAAAAGTCGGAAATTCTTGATTCTATCAAAAAGTACTAAGCAGTGATTACAACTAAGCATTCCTATCCCTTCTACTCGTACCACTTTTTGTAGAAGATTGTGGTCTCTACATTCGAGAACCCTGTTCCCAATTCTATGGGGAGAGAGTTTACACATTTTGATGATTCAAAGCCATGATAATGTTCGATTGATGCAAAGATAAACACAACATTGACTGATGGTTCTCAACATGAGCTAGATTAGTGCTCCCAACCACTTCCTCATAAACCTTTTTGTTCTCGATTCCTTGTTGAGTTCTCCTACGCAGTCATATCTTACGCACGTTCTCCTGCCCCCAAACATCTTCTGGTTTACTTTTGGCATCTCATTGAGATGTCATGCTCTTCTGATCACCTCCCCCCACGCCATGCCTTCCTCTTCCGTCTTCGTCGCTTACCTTGTCCGCCATTACTCTATGTGCGACGTGATCACCCCTCCTGATGTACTGTGCCACCACCCGTCATGTTTGATCAACCCCACCCCTCCTTTTACCTTCAAAGTACCCCACCCTTTCCTCTCCTTACCCCGGTTGTTATAGGCTAGGAAAGCCCACCCCCAAAAGTCCCCCACCCCCAAAAGTCCTTTTCTAAGTACCCCACCCGAAGCAGCATCGTTGCTGTAGACAGACAGGAACCTCATCCCATCTCATTCCCAAGCGGCCCGGGTCCGGCCCCGGGCCCCGGCGGCGGTTGCTGACGGAATACAAGTTTGTTAGACTTGTACTAGTCCAAAGTCACGCAGATATCACATCGACCTTAGTTGTAACAAGACAGTTTTTGCTCAAGACCGAGTTTAATGCACACAAATCCAGAATTGAGGAGCACATGAGAGATAGACTGTATGCTAGGATGTGAAACCCAAGCATCCAGACATGAGAGGACCTTAGCAAGACGGCTAGGAAAGCCCCCTCTTCGTCCACACACGCTACATTGGCCGCCTCGCAAACACGTAAGTAGTCTTGGTTTACAGGAGAGTTTTTGTTAACTCGGCGCTATCTGACTGGCACGGCTGGCATACGTTCCATCCTCCCCCCGAGTTTCTGAAATAGTACGTTACATCGGACGTCAGAAAGTCACACAAAGAAGAATGTCAGCAGATCCAAGTCAAGATACGATGATACAACGTCAAGTTCACAGTCATGCTGAGTGGGCAATAACCATTCAAGGATTGTCCATTCTGAAGAAGATTTTCATGCAGGGCTATTAGATGTGCAGTGCAGAGATAAGGGAGATGCCTGGCGAGCTGATGCAATGACGAGAGAAGGAGGATAAGATAAGAGAGTCTGAGGAGAGAACTTCGGAGTTCAGATAACAGAGAGAGAGAGAGAGAGAGCGTGCCCGCCGGCATTTGAAGACCAAAAGATAAATTTTGAACCGTAAAGAACTTGTGACCAGAGATTGCTGCCGCGAGATGGAACATCCGTTTCAAGGCATTCGAAGATTGTTGTGCAGTTGTACCTTGTTCGCCGATCCAGAAGTAGCTCCAGATATGCATGCCACAGCCTAGCTCCATGACATGAAAACTTCCGCCAGATCTCCTGGTAGTTCCATTTGATCCTACTCAAAGATCAAGAAAAATAAGAATCGAATCAGCTTCAAGTGCGTTTCCACACGGTTAAGCAGATATTCGACCGACCAATCTGGCTGGGGAAAGGCTTGTTTTTCCTATTCGAAGATCAATCAAACAAATTGAGGCTGAGATGAGAGGCCTAAACAACTTGCGGCTAGAAAGAGAGCCTGATTGAAGAGAGGAGTCATCCGAATGTGTAAAGCTTGATAGAATTTGCATGAGTTTTCAACAGCAACGGGAAAACAATACCAAGAAAGAAAAAACTCCAGTAAACAATTCAACGGAGTAACCAAATATAAGATCATGATGATTGAGCATGTAATCGAGGCTCATAACCGACGGAATACAAGTTTGTTAGACTTGCACTAGTCCAAAGTCACGCAGATATCACATCGACCTTAGTTGTAACAAGACAGTTTTTGCTCAAGACCGAGTTTAATGCACACAAATCCAGAATTGAGGAGCACATGAGAGATAGACTGTATGCTAGGATGTGAAACCCAAGCATCCAGACATGAGAGGACCTTAGCAAGACGGCTAGGAAAGCCCCCTCTTCGTCCACACACGCTACATTGGCCGCCTCGCAAACACGTAAGTAGTCTTGGTTTACAGGAGAGTTTTTGTTAACTCGGCGCTATCTGACTGGCACGGCTGGCATACGTCACGGAGTCCCGGTGATCAGTTGCCACTCGGCGGTCGGACCGTACCGTACTCCGGACCCGGGACCGTACGGTGGTTGACGGACTCGGAGGCTGACATGAGCGGTCAGCCTCGTCGGACTGCCCGGGCCGCCGCCCGCCGGGCCGGGGCGCCCGGCCGGGGCGGCCGCGAGCCTGCCAGTCCGATCCGATCACCGGACCGTGGCCAGTGAGCGGCCCCGCCGCCGGCCAGAGTCCGATGGGATAAAACTTTTATAACCACTATGACTGCATTGCCCGCTCAATCATCATTCGACTTACACGCACGGTACTAGGCGCTGAGCCATACGGCGAGGAGAGAAAAGACAGCGAGAAACAAACCTATTCCTGCCTACTGCTGTCCCCCGTCACTCGACACTGCCAGGGCCCCATTGTCCCGTCCCGGACCGACGGTGAGCCCGGCGGAGCACCTCAGCATGCCATGACACGCCGCCGCCCGGCCGCGCAGCCCGCCCCGGGCCCCGCGGCGCCCCCCCGCTGAACCGCTCGGTGATCCGCGCCCGGGGCCCCCCGGGACCCAGTTGGCGGACCTATTTGAGTTGGGAAGTGAATGGCGGAGACCGTCGGACTGACAGCGAAGAGGAGGGAGGAGGAGGAGGAGGACGAGAAGCTGCAGACAACTGGCATGTACTCACAATGGCAGCAGAGAAGGGAAGCACACAATGATGAGAGACCTGGAACCAAGCTCAAGTTGCAACTAAGATGCACTAGAAGATGCACTAGAAGATGCACTAACGAGATGGGACGAACAAGAGGAAGAAGGATTAGGGATCATGCAAACAAGTGTTTGGGTCATGGCAGCATCTAACACTGAGATAACGTCCGTTGTTTGGTTTCACAGATGTCGTACGGGATAAGATACTCTCCTGTGCAGTCTCCGTCTGCTTCATCGGGTAGAGGGCTTGCTCTGCTCTGCCATGCCTTGCTGACTTGGCTCCTTCTCACAGCTTTCAGATCTTCCACGCCTCTCTCCTGGTCCTATTCGGGATTCATCAGGTTGCGCATAAACGTCGCGGCAGTTTGCCGGCATGACGCCATGCAGGAGGGAGGACGATGTGGGTCCCGCGAGCAGCTCTATGCCGTACAACTCCAGGTGACGCACGTCGCGTTTGATGCTCCTGATACAAGGTGGCAGGGCCTGGAGTCAGAGCAACGGGGGGACGGGGGTGGAGGGGCTCAGGTTGGACGCGTTCAGAACCAAGTCAGGAGTCCAGCATCTCCGGTCGCAGCACGAGACCCTGATAGCGACAGACCGCAAGATCCTCGATGAGGCCCAGCAGATGCGCTTCGTCATGGAGCAGCGCGAGATCGAGTCAGCCGCCTCTTCCCCCTTCCTCCCCTCCTCTCATGTGTCGTCGGCAGGTACCGCAGGAGGTGGCAGGAGCCCAGGCAAGTCATCCAGCAAGTGAGAGATGAAGTGCGTCCGAGTCTGGGAGTCGTGCGAGAGAACCTCACGAGTGAGTCCTGCCTTCTCCCTCCTGCTCCTGCTCCTCCCCCTCCTGCTCCTCCCCCTCCTGCTCCCACCCCTCCTGCTCCCACCCCTCCTGCTCCCACCCCTCCTGCTCCTCCCC